ATGCGAATCTTTCCCATGCCACCCATACAAAACCGCCGCCCCCCCTGTCAGGTCATGTCCCGCCCGCCCGCCACCGAGGAGGTACCCCGCACGCCGCGCAGGGATCGCCTTTCCGAGGTGAAAAGGCGCGCCTCATCCTCGCTAGGTGAAAAGGCGCGCCTCATCCTCCCTAGCTCTTTTACTCCCTATAAACCTCTACTCCTTCCTACTCCTACCCTTTTTACCCTTTACTAACCCTAACCTTCTTTCACTTTATAACCCTAACCTTTTAACTCTTTATAACCCTAACCTTTTAACTTATTACTCCCCCTAACCCTTTTACTAACTACTCCCCCTAACCCTTTACTCTCTACTCCTTTTATTATTTCTTTCTACCCCCCTTACTTATTATTCTTATTACTTCCCTTACCTCTTCCTCTCCCTCTTCTCCTTATAATTATTCTTTTTATTATTACCTCTCTACTTCTTTTTTCCTTTATATTCTTTCTTTTATTTTTCTTTTCTTTTCTAACTTACTCTTCTCTTTTCTTAAACCCCTCTAAAATCTTCTTTTTTTTACTTTATAATTCTAATTTTATTACCTTTCTTACTTTTTTTTCCTTTTTCTTTTTTTTTATTCTTTTACTCTCCCCCCCTCTTTACTTCTTTTCTCCTTTATTTTACCTTTATTCTTTTTTTAACCTTTAACTTTTTTTTTTATTCTACTTTTACTAACCTCTAATTTATAACCTTATAACCCTTACTCTTATTCTTTTCTTTTTACAGGGAGGTCCAAAACGAGTGTCCGCTTTCCTGTGGTACAATGAATTATAACAACGGCTATTTCTGGACGCGGTGGAGCCCTACAGTGCGCCCAGGGATAGACTACGCGCGCGCGAGGTAGCGCGACAATTGCGAAGCTGGCCCCCCTGTATTCGCTTGCTAAATTCACCCCTGCAGCATCTCGTCCCACCCCTCTGAAACACATCTGCATGCCTAACGTAGGAAATTGCTCTATGCTCCTTTTAGTTAACTACTTGATCCCGTCACCCATATATAATGAGCCTCCTGCTGCTCCGTCAATAGTTTCTCTCCAACCTATTCTTACTGTTCCCATCTATCGGGACCTCACCGCTAGCCTTGATGTCCGCCATGACCTCTACTGTCCAGGTCGTGCGCTTGGTGGGGTTGCTGGCCCCACTACCCCTTTGGAAGAGCGTGGAAAGAAGGGATTCTGCCTAACAAAACCAATGCTTTCCCTCTCTGCCCCCAACCCAAAGTTGTTCACGTGTAATCTCTGCTCGAGGAGTTCTTCTCGTCATTATGGTCGAAGCATACAGTCCCAGCCAGTGGCTTTATTCCGAGGACTGTGAATTTGGGGTTTCTTCTCCTGGTCATGTCATTGATGAGCCTAGCAAGACACCTTGCCCACCCTACACCCTGAAATGGACACTCTGCCAGAAGAAGACGAGGCTCCACAAGCTCACTGGGAATGCGGTCCAGAATATCACATCCTACCCCAGCATATTTTGGGGCGATGAACTCGAGTCTGAGATTACAGATGTCGTGGCGCAGAAGCGACTAGCCAACACCCACGAGGCTGAAGAGACACAACTCGTATTTTCAATCAACGCTCGCGGCGAAGAGGCCATACCCAGGCGTTTCTCGGGGTCCGACGTCAACTGGGCAGAAGTAGATGAGCAGATCGACAAGTGGTCTGACTTGTGCGGGGAGGCAAGAAGCTAACGGTCAACGTCACCTTTATTTACAAGGAATTAGATGTTCCCTCAACTCAGAAAAGAGGCCGAGGTAGGAGCGCGACAAACTGTCAACTCTTTGAACGAAACGCAATCCTCGGAGACGCAGGCGCTGAAGAAATGCCACTCTGGGAACAAGTATACTCCCTTCTGGAGTGCCCTGGCGCTGGTTGTGATGTCGGGCCATACTGTTTGCGCGATCCTAATGGAGGAACACGTCACGCCGTTCCATCCAATATCCTCTCGAAATTGGTTGATTATGTCGAGAAAGGCGGCACGTTGAAAGAACACGGTGACGTGCCGAAGCACCTCCAGCATGAAATAGCCAACCCGCCAAAGAAACGCAAGCAGGTCGATGATCCACACATCAACATCACCAACGTGATGCCAGGGATGGAAGCGACGCCCGTTGCCAAGAAGATTAGAATCGTGGGGTGTCGCGACATAGCCATACAGCGTTACCGCGACTGGCATTGCGGTAAAGTGGACGGTCTAGATTGGAAGGAAGAGTTTCATGCCATTGCTCAGCTGACGCTCCAAGCGCGCCTGTCCCTGGATCGGCTCCACGCGGCGCAAGAAGAACAGGTGAAGTACTTTCTATCGCACGGGATATCCCGCGGTATAGCGCACCAATGGGTGAGCATGGTGGAAGAGTGGTGGGCGGAGACATCGCAGATGTAGGCGGAGATGCATTGTGCTAGTGAGGATAGTCTATGGCAATACCAGCGTGTCGAAAATGACCTTCGGCGCTCTCACCCTTAGCCCCTACGTAGCTGATGCACCATTTAAGGAACGTAGCGAATGATCCGCCTTTGCTATCCGTTTGATTCCACTCCTTCCGCATGAAACCCTTCACCTCCCCGAAATGCTCTTCTATAGGGTTGAGATCCGGCGAATAAGGTGGAAGAAAGAGAAGCTCAACACTTTCAGCCGAGCACAGCTTTCTTAGCCGATCTGCACGATAGAAGCTTGCATTGTCCATCACTAGGACGGATTTCGGTTGTGGGTATCTACCACAATGGCAGAGCAGCTGTCTAACGAAGTCCTCGAATATCTCGTGGTCCGTGGACCCTCGGAAGACGCGAGAAAGCATGACGCCGTCTTGTGTGTAGGCCGAGATAAACTGGTGCCGCGCCTCACGTTTGAACTCGGCGACGTGGACCGGTGTGATGCCTCGCCGAGCCCATCCTCTCCGCCTTTGTGTTGTCTTGGTATCGCAGCCCGATTCGTCAATAAAGATAAGGTGGTACGACTTGTACTTTGAAAGCTTGAAATGATACATATGTCTCAGTGTTGTGTTGCGCTGTTTAGCGACACGCTGGGTCGTCTTGTGCGTCCAATTTCGGGCATGCATTACTCGGCTGATCGTGCTACGTGATACCTCGACGTCGAACTGGTCTCGTAAAAACGCGGCAATTTCTTCGCGATACATGCATGGATCCTGTGTCAGCTTGTCGCATAGCGTATCAATCATGTATGGTAGGAGACGAGACGGCCGGCCGGTTCTGTTCGGGGGTGGCCGTGTGCGGCCAAAACGGCGAATAGTAGAACGTATTCTTCGGACAGCGCGCTCGCTGCACTGTACTTTCTGAGCAATTGCTCGACTCGTCTGATCTTGCAGAAGCAGAGCCCGGATCTCCTTGTGCTTCTCAGGAGATAGCTGTCGTGCCATGGCTGTACTAGTGTAGCACAGTCGCGACTAGGTGCTCGGGGCTCGGTCGATGAAGAGTCTACTAGCTCGCGTTGAACTGTTTTCCTCTTCGGTTTTAGCCGCGATTATTCCGCTGCCTGGCTCCAGTTGTTCGAAACGTGACTCACATAGCCAGCCAGCTCCCTTCAGGAGGCGTCATGTCACGTGATTCATTAATGTGGATCGACTCGCCACGTCCAGTGTCCTTTTCACCCTCTCTCCAATTCACTCGTTCCTGAAATTAATCCCACTGGCAGGAGTTTTCACACCCCCATAGCCAACAAGATAGGCTCACTTGCGAAAGTATGCGACGGTATTCGCTCACTCTGCGCACAAGAATAGCGTCGACGATATAGGCGTATCAAACAAGCATCTGCGTTTACTGCAGCTACCAATTATAGCCTGGCGGCGCAGTCACAGCATGCAGCGCTACAAGCTGCATCAAGGCGAGGCGAGGCGGGATGAGGCACTGATTGGTTGCCACCGCGCTTGATGTTGGTTGTGCACTTTCCGTGTTCCATCCATGAAGTGGGAGATAAAACCCCCGCTTTGTCCTCATCGCAGCGTTTAGCTGGGCAGTACTCCCTTGGTTCATGTCCGATACGACGAACGGCCATTTCCACTCCCTGGTACCAGCTTATCAGATCCTCTATAAGCTGAGCCGCCTACCAAGCGCCAAATGCCAGAGAGTTGCGGCGGTACTCTTATTTGCATCATCTGCCCGACTCGACGGGAATGGAGTACTAGCAGCCGAGTCTAATCCTGAAAGCATCCGCTCGCTGCTTGCCGTATGACCTCTCTACGGACTCCTAGACCACGACATCGATGTATGACAAGACACTTCGCGTGCGGGGTGTCCCCGTTAACTGGAGCGTCGATGATCTCTCCTTGTTTCTTTCGCAGCATTACAGTTTTACACAAACAGTCACGTCGCTGGCCCGCGAAATCGATGGCCGGTCGCAGACTGGGACTATCTTACTGCACGCTGATTCAGCCACGCTCGAAGAACGTCAAGACAGACACCGGGGGGCGCTACGTCTTCCACCGTCCTCGGATGGATCAGCCCGACCGCAATATCTCACACTAGACTCGGACTTCCTGGGCATCACCACACTCTTCGTGCCGGCCAAGGAGGACCACAGGGTAGAGTAAGACTTCGCGAAAGTAGAAGCAGCACGTGCTAATCTCTGCAGTATCGTCGCAGTGTCGGGCCTCGGCGGTCATGCCTTTGGCTCGTTCAAGGAGCGAGGTGGCGAGCACATGTGGCTGCGGGACGCGCTACCATTCGATCTCGAGAACGACGCGACCGGTCGACCGATGGCGAGAGTGATGACCTACGGGTACAATTCGTCGGTCGCGAACAGCTCAAGCACACAGAATCTGGAAGACCTAGGAACTTCACTGCGAAGCAGCCTTCTCCCGCTGGCGGCTTCACAAAAACCACGGCCGATTATATTTATCGCCCATAGCCTTGGGGGACTCGTGGTGAAGGAGGCAGGCATTCCGCCGCAGCCGAGTGTATCTAGTAGCCTGCTAACTCTCATCACAGACTCTAATCTCTCTTTCGAATTCAACAACGCCGGAACACCAGACGTTAATCGGGGCAGCCTACGGAATCGTCTTCTTTGGGGTACCCCACGTTGGCATGGACATTAAGTCGCTGATCGCCATGGCCGGAGACGGGCCGAACCGCTTTCTTGTCGAGTCGATTGGGGATCACAGTTCACAGGTTCTCTCCGCCCAACAACGGGCGTTTAATACAGCATTAGGCGGAGAGGGCAGCTCGGAAGTCTTCTGCTTCTACGAGACACTGAAGTCGCCGACGGCGCAAAAGGTATGCTTCAATCCATTGCTGAAATTCATGCACTAAAGTTGAACGGAATGCGGCTGGCGACTGGAAGATGACAGGCCCATCGGCGGTGCTAGTCACGAAGTCCTCGGCGACACACGGCCGCTCTTGGGAAAACGGGCCCGAGCATATCTGTGCCATCGCCCGCACGCACTCGGACATGGTCAAGTTCAGGCCCCATGACCACGACTACAACAGCGCCTGCGCGGTATTACAAGGGCTCGCGCGACGGGCTCTAGAGCGTGGCGGTCGAGATCCGGCGTCCAATGTGCCATGTATGTAAGCAAAGTGCGAGCCGTTAGTCCGATGCTGAATGAGATCAGTTCTCGTGCCTTACATCGAGAATTCAGAGTTCATTGGGCGATCTAACGTGCTAGGGAAGCTCAAGGAGCAGCTGGGTTTCGGTCAGCCTCCACGAGGTGCAGGAGGTACAGGAAGTCGGCCCAAGGTATCGTTGTACGGTCTAGGTGGCGTTGGGTAGGTTGAGAGTTCTCACTGCATTTCGAACCTACTGACTAGTGCAGCAAGACGCAGATTGCATTAGCATACGTATACTGGGTGCGGGAGGCTTGCCCAGACATCTCTGTGTTCTGGGTACACGCGAGCAGTGTCGAACGATTTCGCCAGTCCTTCGTATCTATCGCTCTTGGTTGCCGGGTTCCCGGTTGTAATTATACCAAGACCGATGTTCTGCCGCTAGTGAAACGGTGGTTAGAGAGTACCGACTCCGGGCGTTGGCTCATGGTTCTGGACAATGCCGACGATGCGGAGCTCTTCTTCAATGAACTAGCTGCGCCGACTGCTGCGGCTAGCTCTGACAGCAAGCTATCATGCTTCCTTCCGGTGTGTGCGCACGGTGCCATACTTGTGACGACTCGAAACAAAAAGGTGGGCTCATGGTTAGCCCCGGGGACCCCTCCTATCGAAGTGGGCCAAATGAGCGAGCAGGAATCGGTGGGCTTGCTGCGGGGAAGTCTTCGACAGGCCGATGGAGAAGCGGAGCTGTTGAGACTGTCTTCTCGGTTAGAACATCTTCCACTTGCTCTCGCCCAAGCGGTTGCATTCATACAGGAGAACAGCATCTCGGTCACCAAATACATGCAGCTGCTTGGCGAGAGCGACCAGGGCTTAGTGGAGCTGCTAAGCCAGGAGTTCAGGACAATCGGGAGAGACTCAGAGGCCCCTCAGGCAGTAGCGGTGACGTGGATGCTGTCCTTTCAGCAGATAGAGCGGCAAAATGCGTTTGCAGGGGAGCTCCTCTCGCTGATGAGTCTGCTCGACCGTCAGGCCATCCCGGAAGAACTCCTCTCGACCTACTATGAGCAGCGCAACGCGAGCGCGAAAGCGGACGAACGGTTTGAGAGTTCCACGGTTCAAGGCATACGCAACGCAATCCGACTAGTACCGCGCAAGCTATACTCGCGAATACGTCTTTTCAGCCGACAGGGAAATCCGCTAGAACCACCAAATTCATCTGCGCAGAGGGGGCAAACAGGACAAGTGAGTCGCGAAGTAGAACTTACCAAGGCATTAGGCGTTCTGAAGGGGTTTTGTTTCGTGACGGAAGACAAGAACGGCAATTTCGACCTGCATCGGCTCGTACAGTTGGTGACGCGTAAGTGGCTCGCCAGGAACGGTACGACGAATCAATTCAACAAACAGGCGCTACACACAGTTTCGACGGTGTACCCATACGGCAGTTTCGAGAATCGTACCCTGTGCAGTGCGTATCTTCCTCATGCAAAGGCTGTTTTACAACTTGAGATTGGCAAGGCGAAGTATGAGCAAAGGGCACAGGCATTCCTTCTTTTCTGCGTAGCATCCTATCTGGATTTCGAGGGCCATTGGGATGAAGCAGAAGAGTTCAGCAGCGCAGCGGTAGAGATTGAGAGAAGGGCACTGGGGAAGAAGCATCCCGACACGCTAACAAGCATGGGCAACCTGGCATCGACATACAGGAACCAGGGCCGATTGGGGGAGGCAGAGGGGCTTGAGGTGCAGGTGATGGAGACTCGCAAGACGAAGCTTGGGGCGGACCATCCCGACACGCTGACAAGCATGGCCAACCTGGCGTGGACATTTTGGAAGCAGGGCCGATGGGAGGAGGCAGAGGGGCTTGGGGTGCAGGTGATGGAGACTCGCAAGACGAAGCTTGGGGCGGACCATCCCGACACGCTGACAAGCATGGGCAACCTAGCGTCGACATACAGAGACCAGGGCCGGTGGGAGGAGGCAGAGACGCTTTTTATGCAGGTGATGGAGACTTTCAAGACGAAGCTTGGGGCGGACCATCCCGACACGCTGGCAAGCATGGCCAACCTGGCGTCGACATTTTGGAAGCAGGGCCAATGGGAGGAGGCAGAGACGCTTTTTGTGCAGGTGATGGAGACTTTCAAGACGAAGCTTGGGGCGGACCATCCCGACACGCTGACAAGCATGGCCAACCTAGCGTCGACATACAGAGACCAGGGCCGGTGGGAGGAGGCAGAGACGCTTTTTGTGCAGGTGATGGAGACTCGCAAGACGAAGCTTGGGGCGGACCATCCCGACACGCTGACGAGCATGAACAACCTCGCCCACACTTGGCAGCATATGGAAATGGCATTGGAAGCTACTCAATTAATGCGCGAATGCGTTCGCCTTAGCCAACGTAAGCTGGGCTTGAATCACCCTTACACGAAGGCTTCTGTTTCGACTTTAGACGCCTGGGTTAGCCGACTCCAAATTTAATAATGGCTTTGCTGAGATTAACTTTGTTTCTTATCTTAGCAACTATCCCATAGCTTTCGTTTTAATCTAGGTCACTAGTGTAGTATTCATCGGTTCTGAAGCTAGTGCCAATGAGGCAGTCCCGACGGGTGCAAGGCTCAGCCGTGGTTGGTTACAGTATGTACTGAATCACGTGCTTCTCGGAGGGGTAGAGTGAGGCAGATGGTGGGGTGTATATAGTAGACTAGAGCGGAAGGCTTTGCAAATGTCACGGCTACCTTGTACTAGTGGGTCCGACTCCTGTTCGCACTGTATATCTCCACTGCGTCCAGAAATAGCTGTTCTTATAATTCATTGTGTCACAGGAAAGCGGACACTCGTTTTGGACCTCACTGTACTTTTTTATTAACTATTATTCTTATATACTCCTTATTTAATCTACTTATTCTCCCCCCTAACCCTTATACTTATT